AAGCGCTTATTCCACTGAGCCATCTCCCCAGCCCCTTGCTTGCTTTTTGAGTCAAGGTCCCTCTGTGCAGCCCAGGCTGGCCTTGAACTCACAACGACCCACCTGCCTCAGCCTCCCTAGTGCTGGGGTGCCAGGCGTGCACTGCTAGCTTCTCTGCAATGTTTAGAACCCTTCCCTGGCTTTCCCAACCCGCCTTAGGGCTTAGAGCTTGAGGTGCAGCCCCAGCGGCCTGGCACTGACCAAAACCTTTTGGATCCTCTTCAGAACTCGAGGCGCTATATCCGGAACACGACTAGGTACCTTCTCTCCCAGGACGAATAGGTAAGGTCTGGAAGCGTCCCCCTTGCCCCACAGACGCCCTGTGCTGGGGAGAGGCGTCTGCCCCTGCAGCTCGGCCCCCATCCAGGGCCTCAGGGCTCTCTCCCCTGCTTGTCCAATGAGAAGGAGAAGACACCGACATGCGCCTGCCCTTCGAGGCCCTACAGGCTCTAAGAGAGCAGTTTGTTCCCGTGAGATGCTAACAGAGGCCTCTCGGCTGTGCGTGGTGCCAGTGACGTGCTGGCCAGTGTCCCTGGTCCACAGCACTGGGTGCTAACGGCATTAGTGACAAAGCAGTCTCCTTCCCCGGGCAGATGGGCCAGGGGCACCCGGTTCCCAGAGAGCCGGCTGCAGAGTTGCCACACCCTCCTCTCCCCACCCACAGCAGGTCAGCCACTGAGGACCAGACAGGAGGCTGAGTCTTCCGGGCCACTCCGAATGCCAAGACCCTCCCTCTGGAGCAGCCGCGCGCTTGGCCTCAGGCTGCCACAATAAAGCCCAGGGTGTTAGCGGTCAGAGGAGGACCTGGGTGGCTCTCGTATCTCACGAAGGGAAGAAGCCTCCAGGAGGGGCACGGGGGGGACTCACACATGCGTGGTCACTGCCCAGGGGCAGAGGTGCGGAGGTGCCACAGGGACACGGCCGTCTTTCCCTCTGTGGACGCCTTGTGTGCTCTGCTTGGGAAAGCATCCCAGGCTGGAGGTGACCATGTCGTGCGCCCTCGACGGTCAGGCCTGTGCTGAGCCTGGGTTTGGGCTTGAGATGGAATGGTCGTGCATGCTTGTGAGGGCCAGGTGGCCAGGCCAGCAGGGTCCTTAGCACTGGGGCCCTGTCGCTCCGTGTCAGGAGCCACGAAACCCTCTCCAGGCTGTGTGGAAACAGACAGTGACAGGCGCCAGCCCTCTTGCTCCCACGCTGGACACGGTGCAATCCTCCCCGGTCCCTCCGCCTGCTAGCCCTCCCCCTCCCCAAGCGCTGGGCCACTGGACGTCCCAGAGCACCCAGCACCGGGCGGGACCGCACATCTCCAGGGTCTCAATTTGCAGCTCCACCCACAAGCGCACATGCGCCCCCCTGCTGCCTTTGCAGCCCAGCTTTGCAGGCATCCTCCTTTGAAGTCAGGGCAGTGCCAGATGGGCACAGCTGGCATGCGCGGGGCTGTGCCAGGTCTCCCCATGCCCGCAGCCCAGCTCTGCACACGGCAGGGCACCAGCACCAGGAGAGTGCGGAGGTCACTGTGCGTGCACAGCTCTGTGTGTGAGCACAGCGGACACGGACACACCCGGACCACTGTCAGAACATGCGTTTGTGCCACCGTCCTCGTGCCTGGCTCCTGGCATGCTAATCTGCTTCCCCCTTCGTCCCCCTTTCGGGAGTGTTCACGAAAGGGGTCACGCGGGACGCCCTTCCTCGTGCTGTTAGTTTGGTTCCCTCTGCATCATTGCCCTGAGGTTCCTTGCGGCCAGAGTTGTCTGTCCCTTTTTGCTGCTGTGTAGTACTCCACGGTCCAAGCTGGGGATGGGTTAGGGTTGGCTTAACTGTGCACAGGCTGCCAGGGAGGCTGTGCACACATTTGCATGCCGAACAGGACTGGATTCCCTGGCAGAAGGGCCCAAGGGCACATGTTACAGCTTTCTGGTCTTGACTGGGTCGATGTAGGCATCCAGGGGCGGCACTACTGTGGTTGGCCACGTGCTACCTCTGCAGTCTGGATGGGGACGGGGGCTTCCTCCCTTACACGCACACAGAAGTGCCATTGTCCCAACAACAAGACCAAAACATCACAATGCCCAAGTTCAAATTCATTAGCAGGTGGGCACAGTGGCACCCGCCGGTCATCCCAGCACTCTGGAAGCTGAGGCAGGAGGATCGTTGTGACTGGGGGCCCAGCCTGGCTGCCAAGTGGGCTCAAGGCAGCCTGGGCAGCATAGCGAGACAGCATCGCAGACAAAAATCAAAGACAGTGCCGTCAGCGGGCCCCAATCCCACTCGGGCTGAGGACCCCGTCCCTCCAGACAGCCAGTGACATCTGAAGTCATCCTTGCACCAGACTTCGCTGCCCCTGGGCTGCCCGTCCCTTCCACTCGGTGTGGCCAGGGCAGGCCTGGGCCCCATCTCAGTGGCCACTATCCAGAGGAATTCTTTTTTTTTTTTTTTTGCGGAACCGGGAACTGCTTGCTGGGGAACCGCTTATTCCACTGAGCCATCTCCCCGGCCCCATATCCAAAGGAATTCTTACTGCCTTGCAACAAGATCGGCTTTGTGTGGAACAAGTGGTGAGATTGTTTACTGGAAGACCGTAAAGTCTTCATGGGCTTTCCCAAGAAGCTGAGGGCCAGCTTCTGGTGTCCCACGGCCACGCAGAGCAGACCTGGCTGAATGGCCACTGTGGCCTTTGCGATGTCCCCACCATTGCACCACCTCGTGTCACCAGTGCTGCGGGTCTGGCAGGGGGCCCAGCCTCGGCTGCCAGGGAAGGGGACATGTGGCTTCTCCACTTGCAGACTCGGGCTCTGGCTCTTACAGAAGACAAGCTGGAGGTTGTCCCCAAGCTCAGAGGAGCCCCACATGCAGGCTCCGGGGGCTTCTCTGGCGGGCAAATGACACTTTCTCATCCCAGTAATTTTGGTCACTACTGTGGACTAAACCACAGGTCACCCCTTTTTACCACTGAACCACATCCACAGCCTTTTTCATACTGTATTTTGAGACAGGGTCCCCCTAAATTGCCTCAGCGGGAGTCCAGCTTGGCAGTCCTCCTGCCTCAGCCTCCAGAGTAGCTTGGGTGTCAGGTGTGCACCACGCCGCCTTGTCTCATGAACTTGTCTGTTGGCCCTGTGGCGGGAGCTTGCAGCTGAGTCCCTGTGCTTAGGACACTGGTACCTTCTGGGCTTTACTCATGCGCTGGGTTGCACACAGGCGGGGGTTTTCCTGCTGTTCTGTTCTGCCCAGCCAGCACGGCCTGCTGTGCAGGGCTCTCGCGCTGGGTGCGGTCCACCTAGGCAAGCTGGGGCCCTGCAAGGCTGTGTGTGCAGGCTTTGGAAACGCTGGTGCTCAGCCTCCATCCTGGTGGTCTCTGCTCGTTCTGCTGGTGCTCAGAGTGGGGTGTTCAAATCCCCAGCAGCAACTGTGCATCTTATAGAAATTACCGTGGAGATTCCTGAAAAAACTAAAACTAGAAATCCCATCGGCCCCAGCTATTTCCCTTCTAGGTCCTTGCCCAGAGTCGAAGCGTCAGCTCACAGATCCCCACCCCAGCACACCCCGCGCTTACAGCAGCACGGCTCATGGTGAGTCCAGGTGGCCTGTGGGCCTGCCACCAGATGGACAGCGAGGCTGAACGTCCACCCCCAGCGCCCGTCTGCTGCCGAGGACACGCCCACGTGAGCTGCAGGAAAGTGGGTGCGTCTTGAGGTCACTGTGACACAAAATAAATCAGACTTGAGTTTCAGTATTGCATGGTTTTTCCTTATGTGAGAAACCCAACAAGGGAGCAAGTAAAAGATAAGAGAAAGCAGGGAGACAGAGCTTCCCACGCAGGCAGGGGGCCTCGAGGGCCAGGGCCAGGGCCAAGGAGGGAGGCATGAGAACAGAACCAGGTGCATTTGGAACAGGCAGTCTCCACCCTGGGCGGCTCCCCTGCTCCAGCTCCCACACCCGGGATGTGATGGTCTCACGCCATGGGTGGCCCCACCGTGGGACAAGGTGCTGCTTTCGCTCCGGCCCTGACACGTGGCTGCAGATACCAGGGCACAAGAGGCTCTCTGTCTCTGTCTCTCTCTCTGTCTCTCTCTCTCTCTGTCTCTCTCTCTCTCTCTCTCTCTCTCTCCCTTTCTCTGTCTCTGTCTCTGTCTCTCTGCTCTCTGGTACTCTCTGTCCCTCTCTGTCTCTCTGTCTCTGTCTCTGTCTCTGTCTCTCTGTGTCCCTCTCCTGCCCCCCCGTCTCTCCCTCCCTTGATGTCACCCCAAGTCCCCACCTCCTCACTCGCCCTCCTTAGGAAGCACTCACAACTCCCGTCCTCCAGATGCCTCCCTGCCCGCGCCTACACGGGCCTCACCAGAAGGGGACCCAGACAATGCTCAGTGCTGGAACCGGTCAGCAGCAGAGAACTGGGTTCTCCCAGCTGTGGAGATTTTTTTCCCCTTTATTTCTGGTCTCCAGGAGACAAATCCTGATGTGCAGGGGGTTTTGACTTTGTCACCTGGAGTCCTGTCACTGTTATGGTTTGTATTTGTCCCCCCAAAGCCTCATGCAGTTGTTGAGGTGCAGTTCTACAGTTTATGATTAGGTCATGATCCAAGGCCTGGATTATGGGTGTGAGTGCTGCTGGGATTATGGGTGTGAGTGCTGTTGGGATTATGGGGGTGAGTACTGCTGGGATTATGGGTCAAAGTACTGCTGGGATTATGGGGGTGAGTGCTACACCCAGTCTGGGGCGGGTACCTGAATAACGTAAGAGAGAGCGGGAGACAGACTTGCTCTCTGCTGCCACGATTGCTCCTCTCCTTTGCGCTTGCTGTTTTGCTGCCTTCTGCCACCATGAACAGCTGCCCTCTGCCATGTGCCAGTCTGCCTTGGAGCCCGCTGAGTATGGACAGAAACCTGTAACTGTGAGCTCAGTAAGCCTTCCTTCCTTCATTTTGAGCATTGAGTATTTGTCCCAGCAGCGAGAAGAGTAACCGGGCCGGTCGCTTCCCGAATCTGCAGGCTTGCTTCCTGTGAGTCCGGCACGTGTCCACCTGCGGCTCCTCCTGCAGGGGCCCTGAGCTGATGCCCTGGCGGCTCCTTCCGCCCTCCCATCTGCTGTCTCTGGGTCTCCGTCTTGAGCGCTGAGAGGCTCTCCCCTGCTGCCACCCCGCTGAGCGCTTCCACCCTACGCTTGGCTCCTGTTTGTTTCCACAACTGGCATGGGGTCTTGTTCGCATCTCCCACACCAAGACTAAGTTGTTCTGTCTTTCCCTGTTTCGGCAGAACTCGTGTTGGAGTCACATCTGAACCCTAGTGGGGTGACCGCCAGCCCTCGGCCTCCCGCGGCCTGTGGCGATCCTGCCCTGGGGTGCAGGGAGCCATTGCCTATCATCACCCGGAGCCCCCCTCTTACAGTGCTGTCCTGAGCCACTGTCCCCTGAGCGTGGCAGTTGCTGCTGCCCCTCGCTGCTGTCTCCAGTAGGTCAGAGCGCACCCCCCTGGGTGGGACAGTGTGGGGACGGGACGCATCCTGCTGCGGGACGCCAACTCTGTGCCCGGGTTAGGAGAGGCGGGGCCTGGCTGCTCTTGCAGCGTCTGCGCATCGGGCCACCTGCGGGCGGCTCAGAGAGACCCTTCCCAGGCCCGAGGGGGCGCGCTGTGCTAGGTGCGCGGTCTCTACGTGGAGGTCTGCAGAGTGACGCGGGAACTGGGGAGCTGGCCGAGGTGCTGAAACCCCAGGCTGCTTGAGCCTGGCCCCTCTGAGTGCCTTCTTCGGCGGCTGCTGGAGAACCCCAGGTGCTCAATCGTACTGATTGGAGAAAGAGCAGCTGACATCTTGTTCTGAAGCCACAAGGTCGACTTAGCCAGGGCCAAGAGCACATGCAGAGAGGAGGGAGGAGATCCACAGAGCCGGGGCTCTGAGCCGGCCGTTGGAACTCAGCCTAACACACAGGCCGCCTCGCCCAACTGCGTCCTCAGGGCCAGTAGGGTGCTGCGACGGCTGGCAGACTGCGAGGCACCAAGCAGGCGGATGCGCTACCTGAGAGCCCTGAAGCACAGGGTGCTCCAGCCCGCAGCAGATTAGGACTTTTTTCCCTGTATTTTAGGGAATGGTCTACAGGGGTTCAGGGTCTCACTGCTAGGTCAGACAGAGTGATCCACCTGCTTACAGCTTCCCAGGTGCTGGATTACAGGCACACCACCACGCCCAGTCCCAATTGCCTCAGCATGCCCGGGCGCAGGGCCGGCACGGACAGGACGGAAGACCAGTCCCCGGCCCCTGTGCCTGCTTGCAGACGCTTGAATCTGCTGAGCTATTTGGCCAGCCCGGATTTGGGGTTTTTTGAGGCAAGGCTTTACTGAGCTCAGGTTAGCCTTGAACTCATCATGTAACCCCAGCTGGCTTCAAATTCAAAGTCATCCTCCTGTCTCAGCCTCCCAAGGCTACAGCTCCAGGTGTGTGTCACCACGCCCAGCAGGACATTTATCTTTTAAAAAAGATAATACTGGAAAAGACACACTAACAATGGTTATTGTTTAAAATGTATTTAGTACAGAGTCTACAGGGTCTCACTACACAGATCAAGCTCAGACTCACAGTGATCCTCCTGTTTTCAGTCTCCCAAATGCTGGGATTACAGGCATGGGCCACAATGCCCAGACTCAGTGGACATCTCAGCACACCCCGAGGGCAGGACCAGCATGGCATGTGGTGCCAGGGATCGAACCCTGGTCCTTGCACTCCACCTAAGCAGGCGCCTTAGTCCACTGAGCTATCCTGCCTGCCTGGTTGTTAACTTTTATCAGCTGTTAGCATGTTTCAAGAACATAGCAGTATGTTTATATGCCAGAACTTTTTTTTTTAATTTTATTTATTTATTTATGTGTGTGTGTGTGTGGCCAGCTCAGCCCACCAGGGGGCGGGGCTTATGCCAGAACTTTTAATTCCACGGTATTTCTAAATGGATTTGTTAAATTTCGCAAATGAAAAAAAAAAAAAATAATCCCCCTCAATTTGAACGCTCATCCATTGTTCTGTTCCCTTGCTGTTTCTTGTCTTTTTGAGAGAGTCTCGCTACGCAGCCCAGGCTGGCCTTGAGCTCACTGTGTAGCCAGGCTGCTCTCTAACTTGGACACAGGATCCCGGCCCAGCCTCACGAGCGCAGGGTGTGCTCGGCCTCGCCGGGTTCTGCTCCCCTTGTGAACGAAGCGGCCTGGCCCCCCCTTTCCTGAGGGCCTTTCCAAGGTGAAGCCCACAGTAGCACCAAGCAGCTGCTCCGAGCATCACCCAGTGGGAGGGTAGAACCGAAAACCATGAGGGTGTCCTCGCCCTTGTCCCCGGATGTGACACTGCAGCCTTCCGGCTTCTCTCGGAAGTCAAGATGACTGTGAAACTTGTGGATGGACCCAGGACATCGAGGTGGCTGGGACAGCCTGACTAAAGACGCTCAGGAGAGGACTCGAGAGCTGCTGCAGAAAGGGGCGGAAGGACAGGGGAGCGTGTGTGAAGCGAGGTAGCGCATTTTCATGACAATTCATGGCGGTGTCTTTTATTCTTTTTTTTTTTTTTTTGGTGTCTTTTATTCTTAATAAATGTTTAAAAATTGTGAGCACTCACATTTTCCTGATCACACAGCACACTCAAATGTGCAGTGCAGAGTGAGCTGGCAGTCCACACAACGTGCCCAGCCGCGACTCCTCGCTGGTCAGAGGGCAGGGCGAGCCCACTTGCTCGAGGGCTCAATGGAGCCAAAGCACCGAGTCCCAGCAGGCCCGGGTAGGGCTGCGCTGCTCCAGGGCCAGGTGGCACCGGCACGGGGAGGGCGCGGGGCGTCCATGCATAGCAGGCCCTCCGGCACGCTGTCTCCCGGCCGGCCGCAGGCACAGGCAGAGCCCTCGGGGTGGGGCTGGGCTCGAGTTTCGGAGAGATCTGCGCCAGGCTCAGCACATGCACACTGCCGGCTGCGCCCTGGTGGAGGCGCACACTTGCCTGTATGCACACACACGTGTATGCGCACATACACCTCGGTGCAGAGTCAGAAGCATTTTACCAACTTTCCTGCTTCTAACAGCAAGACCATACCTCTGCATGACCTCTGTCCCAGTGCCTGGACAGTGGAGGACAGGCCACCCCAGGGCACACCCCGGAGCATTGAGCAACTCTGACTTCCCGATCATCTCCGGAATGGAGCTTAGATCCCAGCAACTCTACGGAATCAACCACGCTGCCTAGCCCCAGCCCTGCCGGCAGCCACCACCCAGGCTCTGTGGGTCAGGCAGGCCCGCCCCACCCCACCCTCGGGGAACAGCAGAAAGGCAGGGGAGGGAGAGTTCTCAGTGGGCAGCAACCCTGGGACCAACCCCCTCACTGTAAGCAGCCACCTTCCCACCTCAGGGGACACTCGGGCAATGCAGCACACCACACAGTCATCACTCTAGAGATGTTTCATGAGTGGCTGCAATGATGACAACTAGGCCAGGTGTGATGGCACCCCCATCATCCCAGTTCTCAGGAGGCTGAGGCAGGAGGGCCACCACACTGGTGCGAGGCCAGCTTGGGTCGCACAGAAGCAATGGGTGGGGCAGGGTTATGTGGTGGGCAGGGGGAATGAGTCTGTTGCTGGGGCACTGAAGCTCAAATCCCAGTGGTGCCACACTCCAGGCGTGCCATTTGTCTTCTCACTGAAGGGTGCGTCTCACCCCCCAAGCCTGGTGTGTTCACGAGGGCACGTACACAGGGCCTCCACCTTGCGCGCGTGGGTCATCCTAAGAATGAAGACTCTGGACCCCACCCTGCGGCCCAAGTGACCCCAGGGACCAGCCTGAGGTGGTGCTCATGGGATAGGCTTGACAGATCAGAGCCCGGGGACACCTGATCCAAAACCACAGTCAACATTAGGAGGGATGGCCAACAGGACAGACGAACAGACACATCAGGATGGGGGAACCTTAGTGTCAGAAACAGGGTTGTTTCGGGCAGGGCACAGGAGCCCCAGGTAGAACGTCGACTGGCACGAGAGGAAGCTCTCCATCCCAGTGCTCAAACAGGTGAAGGTGGCTTTCAAGGCTGGCAGCCGGGAAGAGCAGCTGTGTGGGAACTCGAGGGCGGGGTGAGCGCCCTTATGTCCTTGTGTGCACACTCAAGGGGCAGAGATGGGGCCCCACTTGTGTGAGCTTTAATGAATGACATGGGGTGCTTCGTGACGGGCACCCCTCAACTCACGAAGGGGAGCAGTGACAGACGCCAGAGCCCCACAGCACATCAGGCCCCACTTGTCTTTTCTGGGGAGTCCGTGGAGGACGTTCCTGCTCTCAGGGGTGCATTCCTGGATGGCAGGCTGAGGCCGGTTGGCCCCCTGGCCCAGAATGCCCGGTGGTGGTGGTCATCCTGGTGCGGCGTCACCTGACCCAGCCGACGGGCACCCACTGCGCGTCAGTGCCCAGCCTCTCGAGCAGGGCCTGGAGCTGTGTGCAGGTCCCCTCCAGGTCCTCCCGCACCAGCACCGCATCCGCCAGGTGCCCGTAGTGCTGTTCCATGTAGGTGGCGGAGGCAGCCTTGTCCTGCTGCTCCTCATCCTGTGGGGCAGAGGCAGGGAGTGGCTGAGGATATGCATGTGTGTCTGGGTGTGTGCATGCTTGTGTGCACGTATGTGCACGTGAGCTCACACTGAACCAGGCCGGAATGCAAAGCTTGTCACTAGGCCAAAAACCTTGTGCATGTTTTGGCATCAAAACAAACCTAGAGGGGCTGGGGAGATGGCTCAGTGGAATAAGTGCTTCCCTGGCAAGCACAAGGGCCTGAGTTCAATCCCCAGTTCCTCAAAAAACAAAACAAAAAAACCCTAATCTAGGCCACAAATCCAATCCTTTTGTTTGTTTTGTTTTGTTTTATATTTGGTTCGGGGTCTACAGGGTCTCACTACCAGATCGGACTCATAGTGATTCTCCTGTTCTCAGCCTCCAAGTGCTGGGTGCTCCACCACGCCCAGTCTCAATCTCAGTGCACCCTGGGCACCCCGGGGCAGGGCCGGCACCGCAGAACAGCTGAACCCCAGCTGCTGTGCTCTGCCTAAGCAGGAGCTTTAGTCCACTGAGCTATCTGGCCAGCCCTTCCTTTTCTATTTTGAAGCAAGGTTTCAGCTTCCCATGCTGGGCTGGGGCTTGCAATACTCCAGGCCAACTCACCTGACCTTAGGCAAGCAGAACCACTGGCCAGGCACGGCTGCTGAGGGCTCAGCAAGGGGAGGGGAGGCAGCGCGGCCGGGCTGAGACACCAGCCTGCCAACATTGGCATCACTTGAGAGGCCGTATGCTGGGGCGCTGGCTTCCTGTGAGAGCTGGCTAACTTCTCGGCGCCCTGAGAAGCCACCTCTTATTCTCCATTATGGCTGCTTTTTTTGTTGTTTTATTTTCTTTTTTTTGAGGCACTATGGAACCCAGGTTAGCCTCAAACTTTCAGGAATCCTCTTGCCTCGTCCTCCTCAGAGCTGGGGTCACAGGTGTGTACCACCTGAGTCTTGATTCCTTCTAAAAGTAAGCTTTTTACTCTAGGTTATTAAATCCTACCTGATCTAAAATATTTGTTTAAAAAACCCACACTCATTGGGCCAAGGAGATAGCTCAGTGGAGTAAGTGCTTGTCTGGCAATCTCAAGGTCCTGAGTTTGATCCCTGACACCACCAAAACACACACACACACACACACACACACACACACACATCAAAATAAATTGCCCAGTATTCATATGCAAATACAAGGGACATGGAGGACTAAGGTGATTCTGGAAAAGAGGAACACGTGCCAAGTTCACTTTCTGACCTCAAAACGCGCCAGAGCCACAGCAACTGGGACGGCAAGGTGTGGGCACAGAACAGGGCGGCGGAACGCAGCCGCAAGCCCAGAACCAAAACCTCAACTGACGTTAGACTAGAGTGACAAGACCATGACATCTTAAAGTCTCTGTAACAAATGGGGCAGAGACCACTGGACAGCCATGTGCAGAAGGAACCCACACGGGGCGGTGAGCGGAGACCACGGTGGGGCCACAACTCTGTCCCCACCCCAGCCACACCTCTAGGAACCAGCATCCCAGCGCCACGGCTCCAGGAAGAAACCGCCACTGAGTTTTAGCTGTGCTGGGCAAGAGGCCAGCTGACAGCGGCTGACGCAGGCGCTCACCCTTGGGCCACGACTGGACTACAATTTGCAGTGCTTCTGACTCCCTTGAAGGCAGGGCCTATGACCGATGTCGCAATGAGGAGCACGCGGGTTTGGCCTGGGCCCGCCCCAGGCATGCGCACACTGCATGCTCAGGCCAAGTCTCTAGAGGGGCTCGGGCCCGGTGACACACACCTGTCAGCCCAGCACTGTGGGGCTGAGGCAGGAACGCTGCGAGTTCAAGCCCAGCCAGGATAGCTTCGTAGCTTAGCCAGACCCTGTCTCAAAACAAAATTGAGGGGGGCCTGGGAGATGGTTCAGTGGAATAAGTGCTTCACTGGCAAGCGTAAGGGTCTGGGTTCAATCCCTGGTTCCACCAAAAAAAAAAAAGAAAAATGGCTGAGGGTGGAGCGCCACTCAAAGGCCCTGGTTCAGTCCCCAGTGCTGCAGTGAATAAACCCAGGCTCTGAAAATGCCAGCTCTTTGCTGAGGGCAGGGCTTGTGCGCTTGTGCGCGTGCAAGAGGGACCCAAGTGGTAAGGCCACCACCCTGCCTCGAGCCTCTGGCCATGTGGCCTTCGTAGCATGGGAGCCCCGCGCCCCAGGCCACGCTCAGTGCCCGCGCCACGGGAGCCTCCCAAGCCTCTGCACCTACGGAAAGCTGCACTCACAAGCAGGGCTGCTGCGTCCTCACAGGCTGGGGACAGCGGTGGCGTCTTCCTCTTTTCCTGGGCCACAGGCTTCACAAGTATGACGTAGGGCTTGAACTCTGAGGTCCGAAGCTGTTTCAGGGCCTGAGGAAGAAAGTTCAGGATTGCAACACCCACGGGAAAGATCCTGTGAAAGAGCCCCTCCCGGGACTCCAGGGGCAAGGTCCTGGTCACCCACTCCCACGGCAGCGCGCTTCACCTGGACATAACTTGCCCACCCCTCCCTTCCAACCCTCACTCAGCTCAGCCTAAAGGCCACCCACAGACAGGGAGGCCCCGGCTCAGGGGCCAGCTCTGAGCCACAGGCAGACCCTGCTCCGCCCGCCTGCTTGTTGGTGGCAGCCAGGGAGCAGAGCTCCGTGGACAACCAGCTAGACAGACGCCACCTGTGTCTCTGCACTAGCAAACGCTGCTGTCACAGGCCTCCTTCTGATGCCAAAGGGAAGGACCAAAGGGACAGCAGAGTGAACTCAGAGGTGCGGGGTTTCCCACCCGTGTGCACATCCCCGCTTGTGTTTGGGAACTCCAGTGCACACTCAGTGCGCACTTTTCAAAAACCCTCTAAAGTACAGACCGAATTCTGACCACCCACTGCTAGGAAGTACAAACCAGTGAGGCGTCCCTCCCAGCGATGTCCTGTGCGGAACTTGCGTCAAGCACTCTGTGAAGCAAAGCTTACGACTCACCGCACAGAATCCAAGACCCCATCCTACCAAGAACACTCCCTGTGCGGATCAAAGCCTGGAAGCTTTCCCAGGGGCCCAGGGTGACAAGATGCCCAGGCCCTGTGGTCTTGGCTTTGAGGCCTGCTGGTGCCTGCCCCCTCCCTGTCCTGCCCACAGGGCGGACAGCACCTGGCCCTCAGCCCTGGCACCTATCTCACGCCACGTCAGGGACACTGTGCGGTCCACAACCTTCCCTCGGCGGGGGCCACCACAAGGCCTGCGCGCCTGCAGTTACACGGAGCTTAGCACACAGATCACCTCCAGGCGACACCTGCTTCCAGGAACCCAGGATTCGGGACTGCAATTCCCTTAGAGTGACGGCCAATGTCCCGTAAGGCGTCCAGTCCCTGGCTGCGACTCCACTAGGTCCCAGCCCTCTGGCCGGGGCACTCACTTCAGGCTCCACGTCCAGTACGCAGACTTTGCTCCTGGCCATGACGGCGCGCACAGCCCCCAGGCTGGTCCCATACAGGTGCTCCTTGTACTCGCCGTACTCCACGAACCTGCAAGGCCACCAGGAGGACGAGGGTGGTCCCTGGCTTCCACAGAGCAGCCAGAGCAGAGTGACAGCCCCTGCGCCCCGTCCCTGTTCCCTCCACCACCCTGCGGCTCAGGATAGACAGCAACCAGGGTCATCCGCTCCACCTGTTGTGCTGGAGGTCGGCCTCGAACGCCTGCCTGGAGACGAAGTGGTACTCCACACCCTCCTTCTCGTGGCCCCGTCGTGGCCGGGTCGTGTCTTCAAAAAGAAGGAGCTAGGGTGGGCCTGAGGCAAGGGTCCAGTGTCCAGGCACCCACCAGCGAGCCCCACTTTCTGCCTGGCCAGGACCCAGGAGGCTGACACAGGGCCCTTCCTGCCACGTCCCTGCTCCTACAACCCTGATGTCCTCAGAGGACCTCCCATCCTTGCCAGGAAACACACACAGGAGCTCAGCACAGGGCCCAGGGACCCACAGCCTTAGGTGTCAAAGCCCACCAGCCCACCCTACTTTTAATTCTGCATCGTCCTCAGGTGAATGGGGAGAATCCAGGTCCCCACAGGTCTGTCCTGTTACAATTCTGTATACGGTCAGATTTCTACATTTCTTTGCAAAAATATGTAAATGCTTATTTCTAGTTTTTTAAAATTATTTTTTCTTCATATTCTGTAAGGACTTAAAGTTCAACATATCAATATTTGATGGAAAATACCTGTTCTGTGATACGCCAAAGATGTTTGATATTTAGACAGAGAGGGTAAATAAACCAAACTGCATATACTGCAGGTTAATAATAAGCTTCTCTTCTGGAGGGTTAACAACCTAAGTTAGCAGATCAAAATTGGAGAAAAGGAAGGGCTGCAAGGTCAGCCAACATTTTGGCCCTAGGCTTTCAAGGTCAGGGAAGACTCGGGACATAGGAGAACCTGGACTGTAACATCATGTAACTCAGCTGTGCCCCAAATTTTCTGATCAAGGAGATTATGGAGCCACAGAGGAATGTGATCAATGATGTACAGTGTGCCTAAGGAGAGTCACGTGGAGAGAAAACATTCTCTCAGGCTGTCACAGAAAGCAAATTGGTCAAGCAATGGCTGAGACTCATCCTCATGGCTGACACTGATAAAGAATCTACAAAGTGCGGTACAGGGCTACAGGATAAATCCTGAGGGGACTTGACTGACCTTATCAGATACAAAAGTTACGTTTCTTGTTATATAGGTCTTGCTTTATCTTGGTCTTAACCATCCAGCAGAAAAGTATAAAAACGAGGTATATAAAGTAAAGCCATATTAATACGATGAGCTGTAAAAGGCTCAAGTCAGTAACTTCTGAGGATAACCCACTAATATTATAGACTGCTAGACAGTGTTGGATTGTTTAGCTGAATTCAAACATCTTAGTATTTAGATGCCAATAGAATATTCACCTCTGATAGGACTAAATAAAAAAAAAAAAGGGACACAAAGGAAAGATCATTTTGTATTTATATATACAAAATAGGATATACAGCTACTTTCGCTTAACTCAATGAGAAGAAAGAGGTGTACTAACAGTGTTTGGACAGGAAATCCTGCCTGCTGCTTGTACTATGGATAACCACTAAGAAGGTAACAATGTACAATGTACTGATTATCGAAACTATCCTATTAGCTGTGAAACTGTCTCATTCATATTTGTTTCTCAATAAAATTAAAATTAATAAAAAAGAGAGAATTCAGGCCCTTAGCACGCTCCTGGGCCCCCCATCAACAGTGTGCACCACCAGGCCTCTCACGTGGAATGGCAACCCCGAAGCGCTGTGGGTTCTCGGCCACCAGCTTCTGCTTCAGCTCCTGTAGCCCGGCACCCAGAGACCCTGGAGAACAGAGGAAGCTGGGTCCCTACCACGCACCCAAGGCCCCAAGGAGGAAGACACACCCCAGACCACCAGCTCACCGCCTACCAATCAGAACTGCGAGGCGGGGTCGCTCGCCAGGCTGGGGCTGGTACCGGACTACCTCCTCGTAGGTGGGCAGCTCCAGGGACTCTGAACCCATGGGCACCTTCCCATCCTGTGAACTGCCTGGCCTCTCGCGGCAGCCAAGCCGGAAACTCCTCCGCAGACCAGCTTGGGAGGACAGAGGGACACAACATTTGTCCCCGACCTCCCAGGAAAGACTGCCTCCCTGCCAGCTATGGGCCCCGCACCAGCCCACGGACGCAAGGTCACTACTCTGCTACCTGCAGCTAACCTCAAGGGACTGCACTGCCCACCGCCCACCTGTGAAACCAGGCACAAAGCCACACGTGCAGCGGGGTCCAGGCCAACGCTTGCTGGAGTCTGCACTGAAGTGCGGGAGGGCCGGAGCTGAGTGGCTGGATGCCAGAGGCCACCGAGGTGCTGGGTTATGTGGTGGCCTCCTCGTCCCAGGAAGGGGCTGAGTGCCGCACCCCTGCTCCACAATCCCCAGGGCAGCTGGGAGACGAGGGTCCTGAGCTGCCACTCTCAGCTGGTTCTGGGGTACTCTTGATCGCTCTGCTGTATACCCCCCAGGCAGGAAACCAAAGGGCATCAGTGGTGACCAGCTACTCACCCACATAGTGACCTCTGAAGTGCCCATCACAGTCATAGGTCTCTGGAAACCAAATGTGGGCAACAGTGAGGGGCTAGACCCACCTCAGCTGGGGATGGGGTGGGCAGGGTGCCCAGGGCCAGTGCCACATTCTGGCCACCCAACAGCTCGACCCCTGGAGGGGCTAGGAGCAGCAGGCACCCCCTGCCCATGGGGCAAGGTGCAAAGCCGGGGCAAGGGGCCTGAGGCTCAGAGACCCATCCAGCAGGCACAGCCCCTCCAGCCCAAGTGCCCCCGAAGAGGCACCTCTCCTCGCCTCGCCTGTGTACACAGGGACAACACCAGCCTACCTGTATCACAAGGCTGGTCGTCTGCGGTTTGCACAAGAAACAGATGGACAGCATTAGTGGGTATGGGCACAGAGTTAGGAGCCCCGGGGGCTCCGCCTGCTGTTGCCCCCAACACACCCAGCCCCAACCAGTTGCTGCCTGCCCACCTGCTCCACCTGTGTCCCAGAAAGGGCCTGGAGGCTCCCTGCTCCCCGACTCCTACCCAGGCTGCAGACCTGCTGGGAGAGGCATGTGCCCCAGGTGGACACACCTGCAGGCCAGCAGCTGTGTGGGGGGCCTCAAACCCTGGCTCTGCACACAAAGCTCTCGAGACTCTGGCCTCCCCTTGGGGAGACAAAAGTGACTCTGCCTACTCCTGGAGCTGCTGTGATTATTAAAAGGTAGACACTCCTGGTCACACGCGCGCCCAGCAAGCGCGTCCCCAGCGCCGTCAGGAAACACAGACCGAGCACACAGCGGGCAGGCTGCAGCGGGCCCTCTCCACCCTGTGAAGTATGAGTGTGCAGTAAGCAACAAGCTGCTCACTTCATCCCAAGCATGGAGGGGCGCACACACCAACAGCTCGCCCACCATCCACCAGGAAGCCATGTTCAGCTCAGCGCCCTTAACCTGTGCTTGCCATGCCTGGGGACCCAGGGCCCCCGACACAGGAGGGCTCCCAGCCGGGGCTCACCCAGTGGCGGTCTCCATGGCCCCAGGTAGAGCCGGCCCCAGTTCCCTGTGCTTCTGGCCCTGCTGGCTGAGGTCCTCGGATGCTGCCTGGTACTCACAGGGTAACTTCCTGAGGCTCAGGGGACTCGGAAGGGCACCCGCCGCTCGCCAGTGGCTGAATCGTCTGCGGGACACAAGGGAGCAGGGCTGTGAGCTGGGATCCAGAAGCACGGAAAGAACCTTCCAGGGTCCCCTGGTGGGCACGAACCCGGCCTGGAACAGCCTTCCTCTCC